CTCTGCTCCCGCTCCCCTCTCCTCTCGCTGTAGAGGGCTCCGAGAGCAGATCCCAGCCAGTGTGCTCAGCCTGCCTGCCTGCTGCCTGTGTGTGAGCGCGTGTGCGTGCGTCTACTTTGTACTGCGAGGAACACAGCCCATGTGCTCTGCATGGACGTTACTGATACTCTGTTCAGCTTGATTTTGCACAAGCAGGCAAGATGTCCAGCACGCCACACGACCCCTTCTATTCCTCTCCGTTCGGCCCATTTTATAGGAGACACACACCCTACATGGTGCAGCCAGAGTACCGAATCTACGAGATGAACAAGAGGCTGCAGTCTCGCACCGAGGTGAGTGCTCCAGCCCCGGCGTGTGTTTGTGTACGTTTCTTGAAAACTGTGTCTGGGCTTTTGCCAGGGATGCCGGCTGAATTCGGTGGGAAGTGTCCCACTAGGTACCACCACCTATGTGGATTTGAGCGCCGGGAAGAACCCACTAGTTTGAACGCTGGGTTTCCAGGCTCAGCAACTCTTGGAGCTGGGGACAGTTTCTGCTGGAATCTTGAGACAGACAGCCCAGCACTTGCCTCACAAACCCGGTCTCCAGCGGTGCTGCTGTCCCAGACCTCCGGGGTTTGCAGGCGCCCAGTCGGTCCCGCGAGCGCGTGAGATAGAATTCCAAGGGATTTTGTGATCATTTGAATCCGGCAAAATAATTTTTTAAACAAATCCCAGAAGAGCTCTGCTTTGACCTGCATTCACTTTTTAAAGTCATCAAAATCTAGATGAAGGGGGCAGAACAGTAACCCCAAGTACTTTTCAGAACTAGCCCTGGGGGGACATGCTTGTAGATTTCCTTCTTAAATTCTGAAACCAGTTGCTTGGGGCGAGGGGGCTCTTGACTTTCTCCGGTTGTGGATGGGAGTGTCTCCTAAGGGGTCTACCTTCCTCAGGAGCTGGCTCAGCATTCAAGCCAGCCCTAGGTTTTGCATATTTGTGATTTTGTGCCTGGGAGACAGAGCCCCAGCCCACGGGGCCAGCTACTCTGGGAGCTGAGGGGAGAACCGGACTTTCAGAACTTTGTAAATGCAAAACTCCAGGCTGCCTCCTTCCATTTAAATATTTAATGCCAGTTGACTTTTTCTGTGCTGGCTCAGCTGGCAGGTCCTGCTCCGGGGCTGTCCCCTGCCTGGAAGTTGGTTGGGGCTTTGTGTTGAAGTGTTGTGAGGAGGAGTTCCTGGTAGGTGCCCCAAAGTCACTTTAGGAAGTAGAGATCACTGGGAATTCAGTCTCCTCTGTAAAGATCAAATACCCGGAGGGTGGATGGCAAAGAGCTTTTAGGAACTAGCTTTGGTGGAATTTTAGATTGAAGGGTGACTCAGCTAAGGTTGTGTGATAAAATAAAACACACTTGCTTGAATTGTCAACAGCACCATGGCGAATTCATGACGTTTACTGTATTTAATAAAGCTAACGAGATGTGACCTGCTTTCTGATTGGCTAACTGCTGGGCAAGGACTGATGTTTTTGTTTTTTATAAACTGGTTGTCTTTGTCACTGCTATTTTCTTTATATGCTAATAACTCCACAGACGTTAAATATAAATGATGACACTGTTGCTTTCCCTAGAAGTCAGTAGCTTTACAGAGGCATACACTGTTTTGCTTAGAGTGGGGAGCTGTTGGCAGCCAATGACACTTGTGTGTGGTGTTGTGTGTGTAACTGTGTGTTACAGTTTGTACATTTCATTCAGACCTTTGCCGCTGTGTGTTGGAATCTTAAGTTCTTACATGAACTATTGGTTGTCATAGCTTGCTTTCAGAATTAAGAGTATATGAAATATCTTATGGTTCATGCCCACATTAATTGCAATGTAAATTTGAAGTAAAAATGTCTTAGAAATATGTTTAGTTCTAAAAAAGAGACCAGGGGCCATTATGGCTCCATTCTTGAAGAGCAACAGGATTTAAAAATAACCTGTGTCCACTTTATATTTTGGAAAGTTCTTGAGGATTGTGGAAAGAGGTTTTCTCCCACCCTCCCTGGTTAGGAGAGCAGGCAGGTCTCTCTGGAAGCTGTGTTCACTTCCTTGTGTCCCTTCATTACCACCTGGCTAGTGCTGAGCTAGGAGGCTCGCCTGGGGGACGCCTCCATCCTGGCCTCAGAAACATCTGCAGGATGCCACAGGGTCCCCACTTATTTCACAAGTCCCCCATTCATGGAATGTTTCTTAAAAATGACACATTATTACCTTTTTTTCTTTATTTCTGAGAGCTAAACTCAGATATTCCTAACTTTTGGATTATGGGGCATTACTTTTAAGATTTCCCTGAGTAGAAAGACACTGCTTCATAACTCAAGAACCTGGAGTGGAAAGCTTGCTAGGACAAATTTTAAAACTCTATGTCAACCTCTCTGGCTGTGACAGAAAAGCACTCTGAACTTTTTTCTGGTGTGTTCTAGAGCCAACCTCATACATGCCCTCCCTTAATTAAATCTTTTCTTTAATTAACCAAACAATTGCCCTGACACTTCTTTTCTCTTTGCCGAGTAGTAAATAATGTCACAAACCCAAAGCCATACATTATTATTTTTCATTCCCTATGAAAGGAGAGAATTATATAATTGCTCCTAAGATATTTATTTAATAAGAAATTACTTTATTGATATTTTTAGAAAGAGGGAGAAGGAGGGAGAAAGACATCAATGAGAAAATATAGATCAGCTGCCTCCTGCATGCCCCCTACCCAGGCTCAAGCCCTTAACCGTAAAGGTAACTGCAACTGGGACAACACCCAGCCAACTGAGCCACACCGGCCAGGGCACTCCTAAGATATTTAAATAGTCACATTAAATATTAAATTTGATCTTAGTTTGTAACTGGAAAAGAAAATATTTAAAAAAAAATAACTTTTCATGAGAAAGTTATATTGCGCCTTTACCAACGATGATTATTTATGATAAAGTTCTTCGGAGCCAGAGAGGGCTTGGTTGGGATAAAATACAGTAATACCCAGCAAGAGTTACCGGTTTATTCACATTAAAAAATCCTGTAGATTGTGGTGCAGTTACTTTTAGAACTTAACCAATGCGTCCAACCACTTTGGGCAAGAGAGACTCAGCTTCCTCCTCTCTCCCTCCTGGCCCCGGGTCCTGTATTACACCATGTCATTTCTGAACACCACCCCCACGTGCACATCTGGGCAATACTCTCAACCCCCCATTCCTTTTTCAACATTGACTTGGCTAGAAGGGAACTGTAGCTCGTCCTTTTGTGATGAGTGAATTGTAATCGAGTGTGTGGATGTTTCCTAGAGCCTGCCTTCTTTATGGAAAAGAAAGAGGGTAGTGAAGAGCCCTGGTGGGTGCTTACTCCTACTCACTTGCTGACCCTGGGCAACCTCTCCTGGGGATTTATGCACTTATTCCAGTGAAGTCAAACCAAAGCCCTTCAGAAGCTCGGGGTGGTTGTGTTTAAAGAGCATTAGATTGGGCAGTGGTCCTGTTTCTAACTTGTTTCTATAATTTACTCACTGGTTGGTATGGACCTTGGTTCCCTCATCTGCAAATTACCTGCAATGCCTGTGAATTTAAAAGTTCTGATTCTTCTAGAGCCCCGGGAATGGTTTGCTTTGGTATGAGAAAGTACTGTGAACTAGAGCGAAGTGGACATTCTTTCTTTGCTAATGGTATTTTATTCAAATTCACAAATGGTGCCGAGATAATAGGGTGATAGTGGAGGAAATGTTGAAACAGAGGCCCCGCCACTCTTCTTCAAAGCTGGCTCTTGGAGCAAGGAATTCCTGGGACAAAGTAGGTACTCAATAAACATTCGCTAACTAACCCATGGACCACTGAATTAGTAGAGGGAAGGGGAGGGTTTGAGAGCTATATCTTTGAAATTAGTACTTTTGCTGAGAAACACAATCCTAATGCCTTTGGGAGCCTGGTACCCCCAAAGCTGCTCTGGGCACCTGCCTCCCACTCCCCTAAAAGTGCTCCCTCAACATCCTCCACATTTATTTCATCATGAGGTAATTTAACTTTAGTGTCTAAGAGATTTTAGAACTTCATCTCCTTTTCAAGGAATATAGATGCGTGGCAAAGCAAACAAAACCCCAAAGCATGCTTTAAATGCTGTTGGCTGTTTTGGCAAAAAACATCTTTGCAACGTCAGAATCTCAGTGGAATTTCCTAAAGCAACGTGTGGGTGTTGGCCCCCTTTTAAAGTGGAATTAAGAGGAACTCTGAGACCTGCGTCACTGTGGGTCACTGCAATTCCCAAGCAGTGGGAGGGGTGTCTTTTCCCATGGTGTGTGCCACCATGACTTGACCTGGTGTCTCCCCAAATTCAAGCTTTTGAAAGGTCTTGCTGTCCCCAGTGGGTTTCGGAAGAACACAACTGCACCAGATACAGTTCAGCACTGCACACCGAGTGCAGTCAGATAGGGTATGAAAATATGCTCTAAGGACTTCAGAATTTGTTCTGCAAAAAGCTTCAAAAAATAACAAAAACTTTTTTTTTTTTCCTTCATTTCCTGAGGTCTGTGCTATGGATTGAAAATATAAGGAAAATACGAGGTGCATCATAGGGACCTTCCTTCATTTTTAGCGAAGGGTTTTAACTAATGTTGGGTTGCTGCAGAATTTAAGAAACTTGATAAAGTTGTAAAAATCCTTGTTTATATCCTTGTTGTTGAGAACTTTCCTATACCTTATTGCCTCATTCAAACAACAAAAAAAGTCTCCATTCTAATGGAGATGTTTTTAAGTAAATTTTTTCATATCAGGATGCTTATTTTAATAAAATATCACAAACATCAGGGAAGGGTGGGTTCCATTATGCATTTCTTCTGTTTTGAGATTTTTTTTCCTTTTATCACCATTACACGCCCCACTCCAACAGAGCAATGTGATCACAACTGGAAGCTGCGCAAGCAAGGATTTTATTAGAATTTCAGTGTTTAGTTTTATAGGGTTTAATATGAACGTTAAAAATGTTTGAAGACCTTGAAATTTAAATCCCCTGCCTTTCACCCCTTCTCAGCTCAACTCTTGAAGTCCCCGGGGAGGGGGTGGAAGGGGGTGGGGGCTCCCAGTCTTTTCTTTCAGCTACATTTTTATATACTTCAGTCACAGGGTTTCAAGTTGTAACATCATGTTTATTCATGGACTAGCTCAGTATCCTTGATGTTCAGATGGAGTCTAGTTAAAATGAGATTAGGTATTTTGGATAGGTGGGAAAAAAATGAAAAATGCTTGGTGATAACTTGGAAATTTTTTTCCCCCCTAGAAATTTAGAAATAAAAATGCTGCTGTTACTCTCAGGCATATGAATGATTTTCAGTGTT